ATTATTCTCAAAACTTAGATGATGCACCATCGATTACCTGTGCATCTATAATGTATTTTTAATATATTTTTTATAGTTTTAAATTTTGATGATTTAATCATAATTTTTTTTTTCATAATTCAATCTTTCGATGCTAAAAGCGATAAAAGTCACATGAAAAAAGAAAAAAAAATTGTTAATATATAAAAGATCATTTTTTTTTATGATGATTCATTCTAGAGAGAAAGCTTAATAAAAGTGATTTTCTTCCTTGAACATGTAAAAATATAGGTTAAGATTTGAGAATTTTATTTCAATTTGATTTAAGTTTAAATTTTAAAACTCATTGTTTTGAATTTAAAAATTAGATTATTGAAATGATTATAGCGCCGGGATCTATAAAAATTATGGTGATTATATATATATATATATATATATATATATATATAGATGGGAGCACCGTCCATTGTATCATTTTCTACAAAGCCAGCTGAACACCGACAAGGATTTTCTTGTACATATATGGGAATTGGATCCATGGTTGGTAAGAAAGACCCATCTCTTGTGTGCAGGCACTATTGTTAAAAGATCCATCTGCCTTTCACGTTACTTTTAATAAAAGCCACAATTTAGCTGAAAAAAGAAGTGATTGTGTCACTACTTACCCCATATCTAGTCAAGAATGCATCTAGTTACAGTGCTTCTGCTATGGATTATGGATCTATGTGATAATTTGTGATAATTTCCTAATCTACGTATTAATATAATTTTGGTGAACATTATTATATGATTGGCCATCATATCATATAAGAAATATGACGATAATTAATTATTAGACCTATTATATTGGTTCTAAAATAGACCTATCATTGGTTGTGTTTATAGGCGAGAAAAATCTGTAATTTCTTCCTCCTTTTTCATAATACAAATTATATATATTTTATTCCAGTGACCACTCTATGATCCCCGACTAAGAATCCGACCAATCAACAATTTTTAATTCGTATTAATCGGGTTTATGTAATAATCTTTTTATATGTTTTAATTAATGATAAATCACACCAGCTAATTAAATTGTTTTCGTCCACAATAGCCAATGGCGAGTCCTTGGAACTAGCTGAAGAAGATGGCATGTATGTTTTAGTTTTGCCCCTTGTTAGTGGAGTTATTGCATGGTTGGCATTATGGTATATGATATTTTTTATTTAAAAATATATTAAAATATTTTTTAGATTTTTTTAATTTTTGCATTAACATATCACAATTATTAAAAATAAAAAACTAAAAAAATATCAATTTAATATTTTTTTTAAAACACACACAACAAATCTCTTAAAAGAAAAATTATTGCACTCCTGAACACGCGTTTACTGGGAATATCGAGGTATAACATCATTTAAAAAAGCTTAATTAAACAGGCCCTAAATCAACTATTCTGGCTATCCTATCCCATGCTTGTATAAATTATAGAATATATGCGTTTGGATCAATTCGAGAGAGAGAGACAGAGAGGGTCACGATAATGGGCCTCCCTACCATGCTTGACGATGCAAGAGAATTCATTTATTAATTAGCACTAAAAATCATGATGTCGTCTAACATCACCTGCTACATAAATTATTATATTAGAAAGTGGGAAAAAAAAATACCTTAATGGCAAAAATATGTCACCAAGTTTGTTTATCTCAATGAAAAAATATCATGGTAAATATATCATTATTACGAAACTAGTATTAACTTAGCGTGTCGATCCTAATCTAATCTAGAGTTTAAAAAAAAATTTAATATGACCCACTTAAGATTTATTAATTATAAAAAATTAAAATAATATAATTTTTATTTATTTTTTAAAATTAAATTAACCTGAATCTACCTGATACCCCATGAATCTTACACTGAGTCGTCGTGATTAATAACTATGGGATAAACTTGCTGATCAAATGAATATCGTCATGAAGAAAGTGATGCTGTCTTACTTTCTGTTCAATGGTAATGCATGGTATGATGTCGGAATCACTCCCTCTTTTACTGTCGTTGGAGTCCTTTACTTGGAACACATTTGAGGATAATGATGCACAATTGATCAAATTACAGGGAAACTGTTAATGATATAATTAAAATGAATAGAAATTAATGAGATCTCGACTATATATTATTATAAATCATATAACATAAAGCCAAGATTCGTCTAGCACTCTGGTAAACCTTTATATACAGAGACAAGAATATTAAACTGCAAAGATCCATCATTGAAATCAACAACATCTTTGCCAAAAAGTGTGAACGTGGATGGATCATATGGTATAAGAAAAAAATCATGGAGGCACGTATAAATTCACTTCTATCAGCAGATCTAACAACAAGATCACGAATTATCTTTAGAATTCATTTTGACTTTCTTCAATAATTAAATAAAATTTTGTACTATCAATCTCACGACATTTCTATCAAAAACATATAATTTCCTTTTGAATTTATCATGATATTTATCTAGCATATTATGTAGTATTATCCAAAACGATAACACCTGTTTATTCATTGAATGACACTAGAAATTCTACCATATCAAGAAAAGATCTTCATATTAAATTCAATTACTAATTAGACGGCAAAATTTTCTTAAAGCGAACAAGAGGAAGATCAGAATGAATACAGATGATGATAACAATAGCAAGGCTTTATGTATTTTGCTCAACTTGATAGTAAAAATTAAATCTTTACATTTCTTGATAAGCAAAAAAAGCAATACTAATGACAGTAAAAACAAGAGAGTTTTTTAGTTTGGATTCTTGTTTATATCATATGCATATGCTTGGACGTAATCTATGGATGGACAGCCATTCTTAAAAACTAAATCAGGAACGGAGAGCTCGCTAGCTCGAAGTTCCTGCGAATTATATGCTTAGATGTAGATTAAAAAATACAAGTGGTGGGACTGATGTCCTTTTCCATAATTAATTTCTTATTAGCTGCCGATTGCCAATTAAACTAGGGGCTTTCGATTGAAGATGAATTACATGATAATGCAAGTGGTAGACTCAAACTCAAGCTTCTTTGTATTCTTGTTTTTGTTTTTTCCAATTCAATTAGGCAGCTCCTTCCCCAGAGAGAGAGAGAGAGTAGTTTGGTGCGGGCGTGTGGATAATGTTTCTTGAAGTAGAGATTTTTATGACCACGTTTTTCTAAGAAAATAAATAAATAAATAAAAATAGTCAGACATCATCCGACCCTAGGTCAGAAAAATTTTAAATTTCTGGGGCCATAGGTGCTTAAAAAATGTATTTTTTAAATTATCACAATAAATTAAAAGTTTTAATAGAATAACATTGACTCAAGATTGAAGAGAAAAAACAAAAAAAATTAAAAAAAATTAAACTTAAATGAAAATATTCTATAAATAAAAAATATTATTTGAATTATACACTTAATATTTTTAAATTTTAAAATATTGTTGACATGTTTAGACCACCACACACTTTAAAGGACGTGTATGGCAACTCTTGATTGTCAAAAATAGATTTTTACAGTATAATTTTATTATTTGTTGTCTCCTCTTCTATTATAAGTAAAATATGTTATCTAAAACTAAACAACGCTATCTTACTCTTAATTAATATTGTTATATATTTATTATGACTGATTTTTATGTTATTTTTAACCTTATTTTAATATCTAAAAATTAATTTTTTGTATAAAAAAATAATTGGGTCTTTTGATGAAACGTGCGAGCGGAGGCTAATTCAAATACTAATATAATTATCGATCATTATGAATATACATGATACGTAAATTTTAGACAAAAGCCACTTAAATGATAATAGAAATTTATTAACCAATGTGTATTTAGACATTGATATTGATGTCATAAATGTGCATTTAAATTGAAAAGAATACACACACACACACTCTTTTTAACGATACCAAATCTCGGCAGAAAGCCTTGTACATGGAGGGGAAGGCATGAGACTAATAACTTGAAAAAAGCAAGCTAAATGATAAGCACATACTATATATGATGAAGTTGAGCTATTGTTTATTTCTAAAATTCTATCACATCTATAATAACTCTTTTCCTCACAAGAAAAAGGTATTTTGTTTTCTTAAATGTCTTGTATATTTTTTTCTCCTTCTAAACCTATACTTATCTCTGTGTCTTTTCTTTTGATATACTCAAGTGTGTTAAAGCAATTCAATTAACACATAAATAAATATAAACATGAAAGAGAAAAAGGTTAGAATTCTCTTTAATTGATTTGTCTAAAAATTCTTACTTTAAACTAAACATAAAGAACTTATATATAAGTTTAGTTAAAAATATTATTTTATCTTTAATAAATAAAATAAAATTAATATATTATTTAACATATATTATTTAACGAATAACTTATTGTTAGTAATCCAACTTAAGGATTGTCTAGGAACTTAATATAAATATATTACAATCCCAGTTTGTTTTTAAAAAAATTATCATCAAAGTTATTTTTAAACTAATTAAATCAATTAAATTATATAAAATAATTCTCAGGTGAATTAATTTTAAACTCAAACTTAACACCCACTAACTACTACAATATGTTTGCTTTTGCGAGTGTGTTTGCTTTCAAGTTCAAAAACACCTTTGAAAATATTTTAGTTTTTTTAATTTAAATAATTTTTATTTTATAGTTTTAAATTATTTTGATGTGCTAATATAGAAAATAAATTTTTAAAAAAATAAAAAAAAATATTTCATACACTTACAAGTAACAACTACTTTAAAAAACAGCTGCTGAGACAATTACAAACACTATCTAAATAACCACTAAAAATCTCACAGGCCAATTATCTAATGACATATGACTGTGGGGGTTTTCAGCATCATCAACCATTCAAAAAACCTCTCTTCTGATAGCCCCCCAAAAAAATTAAAATTAAAACCAAGCTCATTCCAGAATCAGCCCATTTTATAGCGTTTACATGAGAGGCCTTAGATTGGTTTGCTGTCATTAGGGTTACAAGCCCAATTCTAGGCCCAGGAAACCAACAGCAAACGAGGAAAAACCAGCGCGACAACCCTTCAAAACAAACTCATTTGGAAACGCATATCCAAAATACGAGTCTCCCCTAGGGAGACCGCCATGAACACGAGCAAAATTACGAATTATTAAGAGATGTCCTGCACTCATTGTTCTTTCAGACATGCTGCATCCTTCTAATAATTAACAACAAACTACATAAAACATATTTACTATGTCTAACCAAACAGTAAATGCAAAAGTTGGGAATGAAAAATCACTTTATTGCAGGTGAGCCAAGGCACAACCTCTTGGGAGCAACTATATCCGGGCTGATGTTCCGCAACTGGCCATGCTAATTTGTAAAGCAAAAGCAGACCCTGTTAAGAGAAGCAGCGGCATGGAAAGAGTAAGAATTGGAATAAGAACTGTTGGCAACAGAATCGAACATAAAACAAGACAAAGCAAGTTCCTTTTCTGTATTTTCTCAATCCCAACCAAATGAATATGGCAGATAAAAACATCTAGTAGAATCATTAACCAAAGGAATGATCCAATAAACTCAAAAACCTCGCTCACACTCCATCAGAGTAGCCAAAAAGAGTAAAGGTAGAAAGAAACAACACAAAGGATGAGGGGTCAGCCTGTGAATGACATTTGAAAATTCAAGGCAACTAGTAGTTGCATTTCTGGATTATTTAAAAATCAAGCCAATTGCAAGTTCTTGCTGCCCATAAACAGTTGAGGGAAGGGAAAAAAAATTGATTAAGAATGAATATGTGGGGGAACATTAGCTATCAAAAATTAACTGAGAAAAGGTATATCTTGATGCATACCAATTTTATTTTCCTATCTCCAATGAAGATATTCTCCAAGATGGCTATCCCCTCAAGAATAATAATTCTCCAAAGGCCATCACCCACAAATGTAATATATATATCTCAGAAAATTTTCTAACAAGCTTCATTAATTAATTCTAATTTCTAATTAGTGATAACTCCTGTTCACTCAACATGGACAACTTCTACTCTAGTGAGTTAAGATGTTTTCCATATATGTGGCCATGTGCCACAAATATCCTATCACAATGCTAGTATGCTACTAGTCCACTTACATGTCCATATTCTATAAGCTACAATATTCATTTTCCTCTGTTCTGCAACGGGTAATGTCTATCACCTCAACAATTAATTATGCATCTCCATGTCCATTTTCCTCACAAGCTCTGCCAATTAACCCTGATAATTGAATAGAATTGAGGTTCATCTCTGGTTTATTCTTAGAAATACCATGCAGATCAAGCATTGAGGACAACCATTTCACAATGCCTCATACCACAGCACATCCATGAACCTCTTTACCTCCTATGCAACCATCCCCATACAAACTACACACTTTCCTATATTTCCATTCACTTTCATTTTTGAACAGGCAACATGTACACACTTTGAATGCAATAATCGTGTCCAAATAGACTCCTATGGCATCACATAATTTCATTCTTCAAAAGCCAAACCATCAAAAAACACAAAATAGGACAACAAATAATATCATGACACCCACTAAAGCATGGTGGGTGCAAATAGAACCTAGTCATCTCTTCAGTGTGCTACATCACCAAACCTTATCCTACCTTTGTTTTAACAACAAGTATGTACATGCAGAGCAAGATAGACATAACAAAGTGAACAGAACACGTGCAACTAGGTAGATCGAACTTCAGGTCCAAGTTGTTTCAAAAAATTTCCACTTTAAAACCGTGCATCAATATTTTGCACTGTAAAGAACTAGCCAGAGCCTTTAAACAACAATTCTAACACAGAATATGATAATGATACATTTCCTAACATACTATTATCACTATTACCATCACAAACAACTAACAAGCAAGATGCACAAGACCTGGAAATTGAACAGCCTAGCAGGAGGCAGCTAATATACAGATTGAGCTCATCAAAGCGCAAACAAATCCAACTCAAGCTACCAAGCAACTACTAAGCACAAAACAACAATTAAATCACTACACAAAGAAAAACAAAAGAAGGAAGAAACCTTATTATTTGATGCAAACATAGGTCAAACATTGAAAGAAAACTATCTAAAGCTGTAGTAATAATAAAGCGTCAAAGAAGCCCAATATTTTAAACTTAATAATTTTAAAATAACAAATCAAATATTAGAAGAACCTGAATTGTATAAGTTAAGAAACCATGATCAAACAAAACCAAAGCTATCACTCAACTACAAACAACTAGATTTCACGCTAAAAAAAAGATATTGATTGTGCCATTCACCATAGTGTGTTATCATATACCGCAACACTGCTACTTGTCCACCTACATACACAGCCATCTCTAATAAATAGCATCCCAGTTTCATCTCTAATAAATAGCATCCCAGTTTTACTATCCACCTCTGACGATACTACAAGTCACAGTAGCCATTCTTTCAAACAGTTCAGCTAGTCAATCCTACTAAATGGATACAGTTGCTTCTTCCACAAATGCTTAATCTCTATTATGCAGTGAGAAACCCAAATTTAAGCAGAACTTTATCATGCAACACACCTACATGACACTGTCTTGACACACCCCCATCCATGAACCTTGCCTACCAAGGCAACTATCCCATTATATATCATTCATTTCCCTATAACACTCTTAATTAGTCAATTCTCCAACTGGCTTCTTGAACAATCCTAACAGTTTGAACTCATGCTGCCAAACTAGACAACACCAAAAAGAATAAATAAAGATGCAACAAATTTCAGAACATAAAGCTTGCTAGGTACTAATGAAAACACATTAGTCCACCTTCCTCACAAAACTATAAACCTACATTCTCTCAAGTGACCCCCCTAGCTACCTTTGTTTTTGTAGAAGCATTTGAATGCACATCAAGAATCCAATATACTCACATCAAAAAATGATTATATGCATCCTGTGCATGCGGAGCTCCAGGTCCAAGTTGCATTACATAATTTCCACAGTAGCATATTTACATTTCTGCCACACAGTAATGAAACACCCAATGCCTATATATTATACAGCAACCATGAATTTTCTGACATACTAGAACAACATGTCTTTAGCATCCCAAGTCCTAAATCCTGACCTGACAATCACTGAGTCAGGAAGACTCATAATATCTCAAGCATCTATTACACAGAAAACATCACAGAAGACTTCTGGATAATCATATCATTTAATCGCATTGGTATTTAGCTAATTCAAATTTAGTGATCCAGTTCATCAAGGAACTGTAAGCTAAAACCAACATATAGTCAAAAGAAAAAAAAATTAAATTACGAGGAACAAATTCCCAAACTACTAAGCTGCTAATAAAACAATGAATCAACAATTCTCATCGGCAAACAAACACAGTATTAAGTCATATTTATATTAACATGATTAAATCTCAAATTCAAAGAAAAGAAAGCGCTTCCACACAGCCAATTCAATTCACATCTTAGCTGAAAAAGAAAATTACAAAACTACCAGAAACATTAACAAAAAAAAAAGCTTGCATTAGAATTATGCAAATTCCAAAAGACAGTCAATCAGTCAGTCGGTCAAAAAAAATTTAATCTGACTACACCTTATTATCAACAACCCCAACAAAACCCACGAAAGTTTCGCAAAAAAAAAGCATACCCGGATCTCCAATTTCACTCAGAATCAGAAGAACCGGAGAGGCCCAACTTCTCCATCTCGAGTCGTTCAAGTGCTTTCTGATGAGCCCAAGTTTCAATAGTGAGATCAGGCTTAGCATTGAGACCAACACCAAGGATCACAATCGTTAAGAAGCTAGTGATGTAGCAAGGCAACTCCCAGTCTTCCCATTTACGAGGCTGTCCAGGTGGTAGTGGGGTCCGATTGAATAAGTAACCTTTCGGTCGTTCCTCATGTCCCGGCGATGTCCATCTCCCAGATGATGCTCCGCCGCGGGTTCTGAGGGCGGAGGAGACTCGGTGGCGGAGCATGGAGGATGCCGTCGTGAAGGGCATTGTTTTTGGGTTTTCTGATAGCGGTGTGTGAAGAAAGTCCACAGAAGAGAGTGTGGGTAATGCGAGAAGCCTGTTGTGAAGGTATTTTGGGAATAAGGCAAAACAGCGTCGTTTTCTAGTCTGATTGTGTTTATTTCTTTTAACATTTTTAATTGGAAAATTATAAAATGAAAATTAATTTCAATTTAATTATTATTAATTAAAAATAAACTAAAAGGAATTTTACTTTTATTATGCATCACCTCATAAAATACTATTTATTTTAATAATATATTTTTTTCTTTTGATTTATATATTTTTTTAAATCTATATTTTAAGATTTGATTTATTAAAAATTAAACTTTATAATTTATTTTATGCATAGTTAATTTAATCTCATAACTCATGTTATAGATTTAGTGGATTAACTTAGTTGATTAAGGGTTTTTTGGTTTTTTTATTGATTTTTTTATTTTATCCTTTAACATTAGGTTGATTAAGAATTAAATTTTATAATTTATTTTAATTTATTTTTTGTGAGATCATCTCAATCTCATGGCTCGGATTGCTAGTTTAGCAAGTTAACTAAGTTGACTCAAGTTTTTTTAATTGATATTTTTTTTAATTTTATCCTTCAGCATTGGATTGATTAATAATTAGGCTTCATGATTTATTTTGATTTGCTTTTTATGAGGTTATTCTAATCTTATGACCTAAGTAGGTTAGCCTGGGTAGATTTAGATTGTTTTATAGTATTTATTTTTAAATTAATTTTTTTTAATTTCATCTTTCAACAATGAATTTATTAAAAGATTTACTTTAAATGGTGTTATCATAATCTTATGACCTTGATTACAAGTTTAGCAGGTTAATTAATGTTGCCCAAGTTATTTTTTTAATTTTATATGAGATTATCTCAATCTTATAATTCAGGTAACAAGTTTGCAAAATTAATTCATGTAAAAAAAATTATTTTTTTAATTTTATTATTCAACATTAAATTGATTAAAAATTTAATTTCATAATTTATTTTAATTTAATTATATAAGTTATCATAGTTTTATAATTCAAGTTGTGAATTAGTCAAATCAACATGAGTTGATCTAAATCGATACAATATATCGTCATTTAAATATTTTAAAAAAACATTGTTAATTTTTATGAGTCATATTATATTTTTATATATTATTGAAATTATTTTTAGCTTTATATCATCAAGTCATATTAAGTTAATCTCTCTATTATTTATATTTTTCTAGAAAAATATTAACAAAAACTAAATATTTTTTTTGTATGTTAAAAAAATTGATTTAAGCTTATAGGGTGAAAACGACATAATCATCTCTATAGTTATTTTGAATGTACACCGACTAACCCTTTTTAAATTTCACAGCCACACTACTTCTTTTCTCTATCACACATTTTATTTTATATTTAGTCTAGAAGCTATTGCCAGCTTCTCATTATGGCCTAGAAGTATTTTCTCCTTGCTCCTCATCCATACCATATAAAACGTAACTCTAGTCAGAAACATATCGAGCTTCCTTGAATTTCACCAAGAATTCTTTTACCTTCGAAAATACCTCTTCTCTCCAAGGATGGGACAGGTCCCTTGCATGAAAAGGATGAAGGGTTTGGTCAACTTCAATCCAGCTTCTTCCAGGCTCCTCTATCACAGCTAGCCTTCTCCATCATCAACTCCCTCACATTTCTCACATCTTCCATCCTCTCTGCAGAAGCATATAAATTTGAAGGAATGACACAGTTCCCAGCATTTTCAGGCTCTATTTCTACCAGATGGCGACCCGCAAATTCGTCAAAATTAGTATTTGAATGGACTCTACAAGCACCTAAAAGCGAACCCCAAATAGCAGCGGTAGGTTCAAAAGGCATCTTTTTGATAAAAGCAAAAGCACTCGGCCAGCACGCCCATAATGCTCAATCTCTGCGTCGACCACATCGTTCCCCTCCACCATCTCACCAACGATTTCCAGCCCTTTATCATCCAATCCTCCATGGCTGTAGCCAGAAAAGTGACACTGTCAGGTTTGACTTTACTCTTTCTTCCATCAATTTGAAAAGTTCGAGCACCTTATCTTTCCCACAAGCATTGCATTCCATGAAATAACAGTTCTCTCAGGCATGTTATTAAAGTTCGAGCACCTGATCTTTCCCCAAGCATTGCATTCCATGAAATAATAGCTCTCTCAGGCATCTTATTAGGTTGAAGTAAACTCAATCCAGAAGGTCAAGGAAGGCAGCCACCAGCTATCACCGCCCAGCGACCACCCGCCAGCCGCCAGCCGCCGGCTACTTTTACACCGTCGACCAAAAACCGCCTTCACACTTGAAGGTTGAATTTTCTTGTTTTGATTTCATGTATAAATAGATAGCTAAGCTTATGCAATTATGTGTGGAGAGATTGAGAGAAACACTAGAGAGAAAGAGAAAAAGAAAGAGGGGTTGTTATTGTAAACTTTTCATTATTGTAAGCTTTGTTCTTGAAATAAAACAGTGTGTTTTATCCCCTCTAAGTGTTTCAAATCCACCACAAGTGGTTTCTCCCACCAACAATTGGTATCAGAGCCCCGTTCGTCAGAAAACAGAGGTATTTTTGGGAAATATCTGAATTTTCAAAGTTGTCAAAAACAAGTTTTGATCATTCCAAAGTGTAGTGCTCATCAATACGAACTCAACGGTGCAAAAATCAGATCAATCGGAGCACGGGGTGGACCACACTCTCCGTCTGAAATTTCAGCACTGTAGCCCACGCGCCCCGAGGAAGAAGACGAGTGAGCCACGCGCGCGCCACATTTGAGCCGCGCCGAGCCAAGCCTCAAGCCGAGTCGCGAGCCGAGCCACAAGCCATATTTCGAAGCCGAGCCGAGCTCCAAGCCATATTCCGAAGCCAAGCCAAGCTCCGAGCCATATTCTAAAGTCAAAGTAAAAAAAAAGAATATTCCTTGGAATATTCCCGGTTCAACCCAGCAAACCACCCGAATTGGTTTTTGGACCGGTTCATCTGATTTTTGACCCGTTTTCTACAAAGTCAGACCGGTTCCCTACTATTTGGACCATTCCGGATCCATCTACGGTGTCGGTTTAAAGAGCAAAAGAGTGTGGTGCATATAGTCATTTAAAGAGCAAAATGACTACAGAAAATGCACAAACACTCATTCCGAAGCTAACCAAAGACAACTATGATAGTTGGTGCATCAGATTGAAGGCATTCCTTGGTTCACAAGAGTGTATAGACATTGTGCAATATGGTTATGAGGAACCAGAGTCCAAAGAATCAGAAGATGCTCTACCAGAGGTACAGAAGCAAGTCCTCAAAGCCAATAGAAAGAAAGACAACAAAGCAAAGACCATCATTTATCAAGGTCTTGATGAAGCGACATTTGAAATCATTGCTTCCGCAGAAACATCAAAAGAAATATGGGAGGCTCTCCAACAAAAATATAAAGGTGCTGACAGAATAAAGAAGATTCGTCTCCAATCTTTGCGAGGTGAATTTGAATTATTACAAATGAAGTCCTCAGAATCCATTTCTGATTATCACACAAGAATTATGGTGATAGTCAATCAGATGAGAAGAAATGGAGAAGCCCTTTCAGATGCTCGAATTACTAAGAAAATTTTGAGATCCCTAGATCCAAAATTTGATTTTGTTGTTGTCGCTATTGAAGAGTCCAAAGAGGTGGACAAGTTAACAGTGGATGAACTTATGAGTTCTTTACAAGCTCATGAGCAGAAGATTATAAAAAGAAATGGAGATAAGGCAATTGAGCATGCCTTACAAGCAAAGTTGTCTCTCAAAGACAGATATGAGCAAGGGGAGACTTCAACAAGTGGATACACCACTCGAGGAAGAAGTCAACAAACACGAGGAGGATTTCAACGATTTCAAGGCAGAGGTTCTTGGAATACAGGTTTTAGAGGAAGAGGTGGTAGAAACACCACCAGAGGAGGTCGAGGACAACAAGCATTCACTCCTAGAGGAAGAGGAGGCGGTTACAATAACCGTGATAAGAGGAATATTCAGTGTTATAATTGCAATCAATTTGGCCACTATAGCACTGAATGTCAAAAGAAAGCTCCACTGGAGATACGTGAGCAAGTCAACTATGCAGAAGAGAATGCCAACAACAGAGGAGCAGCTGCATTATTTGTCCAACAAGGACTTGACAAGAATCAAGAGAATATTTGGTATCTTGATTCTGGAGCCAGCAATCATATGTGTGGCCAACAAGATTTATTTGGTGATCTAGATGAGACCATACAAGGTTTTGTCACCTTTGGAGATACCTCAAAAGTTCCATTCAAAGGTAAAGGCAACATCCCAATCAAGTTGAAGAATGGCGATCAAAGCTACATCGCCGATGTCTATTATGTCCCAGATATAAAGCAGAACTTGGTGAGTATAGGTCAACTTCTGGAGAAAGGTTATACACTTTACATGAAGAATTGTCATCTGACAATTACAGACTACAATGGGAGATTAATTGCCTATGTGAAAATGTCCAAGAATAGGATGTTTCCTTTAAACATCCAATATGATGCAGCAAAGTGTTTGAGTGCCATCACCAACAGTGAAGAATGGCTTTGGCATCTGAGGCTTGGACATCTGAATTTCACAAGTCTGAAGATGCTAGCAAGCAAGAAGATGGTCAAAGGTATGCCCCACATTGATCATCCAGAAGAAGTCTGTGAGAGTTGTGTCCTCAGCAAACATCACAGATCCAGTTTTGCCAAAGAAGTCAACTGGAAAGCAAACAAGCCACTTGAGTTAGTACACACAGATGTGTGTGGTCCTATAAAGCCTATGTCGACTGGACAAAATAGGTACTTCCTCACTTTCATTGATGATTTTAGCAGAAAGACTTGGGTATATTTTCTGAAGAGGAAGTCAGAAGTGTTCAATTGTTTTAAAGATTTTAAAGCAATTGTTGAGAAGCAAAGTGGCTATAAGATCAGAACCGTGAGATCTGATCAAGGTGGAGAATATACAGCAAATGACTTTGAAGCCTTTTGTACACAACAAGGCATCAGACATCAAACAACACCAGCTTATACACCACAACTGAATGGTGTAGCTGAG